GGGGTAAAAAAGCGCAGCGTTAGAAGTGACTAGAGTGGAGGCTCTTATCAACAGCAGAACAGTCCTAAAGCTTCGAAATAGATCTGTTACAAGAAAATTGACAGTTCTGAATTTCCACGATGGGACTGGTGGCAAAAGGAACTCCTGCAATTTTAGCCGAAAAATCCCTAACCTACCACTGAAGCTGAGCTTTTTCACCCCATCCGTCAAATCTCCGCTGTTTCTCATGCCTAATACTTTTGCATACCATCGTGTCAAGGAAGTCACGCTCTTTCGAATGAGCCTACTGGCAGCCTACTCGTAGAATGACTGCTGGCCGGGCTACAACCCTGCAAAGCGGTGCAAGTCAGTAATGAGGCGCAGGTGAGGTCATGCGCACGCACTGTCGAGAATCATTTTCAGCAAAGAAACTCACCAGCACGCGTCCGATGCAAAGAAGATGGCGAAGGGCATCCATTTTATCAGAATAGCGCTTTGTTTGGATGTCTTGAATGGGTTTCCATGTGAAGACATTTGGCTTGAAGCAGGGAATTAGAAGTTATTTTTTGAAAAAAAAACAGAATAAAATTCAAGATTGGGTTTCTTTGGAAGTAACCCACTGCCCGATTATTGTCTTCGATGAGTTCTACAATATAGTATGCTTACCTGTCCGGAAAACTTTTGTTTTTGCTCCAAAAAAGGAGCTAAAAGAAAATTTTCGTGTTCAGAATTATTGTCCGCGTCATTGTGACGCGGCCATTTTCGGACTTTTTTTAGAAAAAGATCTTTACAATTTTTAGGATACTTGTTTTCCGGAAAACGCAACGTGTAGTTTGTAGCTCTTGAATATCTCTATCACCCCATCCAATCCAGTCATTTTTTCATCTTTGTTTTCTATCTGAAAATGAGCGACGAAAAAAGGAAGGCGACTTGCCCGCAACTTTTTGGCGGTCACCGTATCTCTAAATACTTTTGGTACCAAAAACACAGTGATTAGGAGCTTTCACGCAGAATGTGGAATAAGGAATAGTTAGTCAACTTTGACCAAATGAGCACAAACCTACACAGGAGAAGCACAGTCTGGTCGTTTGAGTTGCGAATGTTTTTTCTTTGCTCGTGCTTCACAATAAGATTTTTGATCCTACTTCAGGCTCTGGTGTAGCCTGAAATAGGATTGTACAGCATTGAACTTTCTAACAGGGCTGAAAGCGGCGAGCGGTGTGTTGCCTGTACAAGGTCCCATAAAAGGAATTAGGTCAAAAAGTCGTAATTCATGTAAGCAAAGGTAACGTCAGCTCAGCTGGCACCCAGCCGGCATGGTACTGGGTAACTTGGCATTCTTCATACTCACAAGGGAATGATCAGAAGTCGAAGTGTTCAATCCAAACAAGCTGCATATCATCAAATGCAGCATATTCCATATCTGCTTAGCTCCTACATGGGCAAAGTTATGAGCCGTTGAAGGTCGTTGTTTTATTAACACATTCACGACAAGGCCGATTTTTTGGTTACTGCCGTTTCTGACAAGAGCCTTTTTCGCTTTGTCAAACTTACGACCCACACGTGGGTCGTTTGTCCGAGATGTTAGTCTTCTGAAAAAAGTTCTAAACATTTCTCCGAGAGTTCGCAGAGGGGTAAGCGAAGGCGCTGATTATCAAAAAAATGATTTATTCTTGATTTTTGCATCATGCGGTAAGGTTACGGTAGTCATTCTGTACGAAACCAACATCATGATTTGTTATGAAAAATTGTGATGGTGGGGTTTGGGATTATTTTGGGGTTATTTCACGCGCTGGTCACGACCACAGTGTCCACATTGTTTACTCTTTATTTACTACTGTCCCACAGTGGGGCTACGGTAGCAGTACGGTAGAATTTTTGTAAAATTCAAGGAACTGATGTAAAAAGGTGGTATTAGAACTTAAGACTATCATTTTCGTAATCAGCATGCTACAAGAAAATAATATAGTCAAAAGCTTTTTGGTGAGTTAACGACAGTCTCTTGCCCGCCCGTATAACTCATGCATGTACACTTGATCTTCTAAAAACAGCATCATTCTGCGAAGAATGCGCTAAAGTCTGGCCTTACATCTATCTACCGTACCACCTACCGTAACATTACATTACAGTATCCCATGCCCGGACTACTCTGGCTGGAGCTTCGCCTAGGTGTCCCAATCATGTGCCAGAACCCCGTAAAATTCCACAGTAAAGAGGCAAAGTCGAAGCTTCAGGAATTTTACGGCCCACCGGTGGGTCGTGTTGTCGTGAATGTGTTGAAAAATCGCGCATGCAAAGCGCAAATTTGGCAGTGCAAAGCCTGTTCGGCTTAATGCTGGTCCAAAACATGCAGCTAGGTTACTTTATATCCTTAAAGCCCAAAGGTGAGCTCTGCAACAACAGTGCAACAATGTGCTCAATTTCGCAATTTTTACGTACATTTTTTTTTACAATTAAACTGCTCATAACTTCGTCCACAAAGGCGCTAAGCAGGTACGGAATACGGGTTCGAAATCAGTGTTTAATCTGCATCGAACGGTTGGCAGCTTGCTTGGATTGGCCAGCTGCCCACCATCCGACACTTCGGTTTCTGACAATTCCCTTGTTAGACATATTTGTTCTATAATACTTTTATGCACATACTAATTATTAGGCCGTTTCATAAGTTCGTGTTTTCATTCTAGTTCTTATCCCTTTGAAAAGCGGTTGGTTTGCAGCAAGATGCGTACATCACTGAGAAGAGCTGACCATACCCTTCAAAATAAACTATTAGGTTGGCACATAAGTAATGCAACTTTTTATATAACTTTTGTCTATTTGAAAGTAGCGCACTCATTTTTTGGCAATATAAGGAATATGGTGTAAGCTTCCAATGCACACATTTTTGCCGAATTTTACCACCTTATATGAGGATTACGGTAGGTTTACGGTACTATTGGAAAAATTTTAGAATTTGCATCAGATTTTGCTGAAACTTGGCCTGTAGGGCTTATTTGACATGCTGATCACAAAATTGAGATCCGTTTCGCATGAAAAGGCCTCGTTCGTGAGATCAAAAGATGAATTTCATTTTAGCGACAAATGAATATGATATTCGTGTTTACCGCATAGGATTACCCTATAGTGCAAAGTTATAGCAACTTCTGACTTTTCGCAGCTTAGTTATTGATAAATTGTCTTCAAAACTTGACGCATTTGACTTGTTCAACTTCTCAAAGGCGCCCCACCTTAATTTGTGTTTAAATTTCATTTCTTTTTCACTGATTCAAATGTGCCAACTTCCAGCTACATGCTGCCTATAATTGCTTTTTCATATGTTAGAATCAGGTTTCGTAGGGCTTCACGTTTGCCAGAAAATCGTGAAACCTCGATTTTCAGCAGTTTTCAAAAAAAATGCTTAGATTTTTTGTACCACGTTATCAAAAATCAAATGGTTTGCGCAGACTTGCAGCTTACATCACGATCTACATGATATCACAAAATGAGATTGCTATATAAAATAGGAAAAAAGTTACGGGAAAAGTTGCAAAACTTATGTGCCAACCTAATACTTATTTCGGATGAAAAGCTGATTTGCTTCAATTCCTTAGCTTCCAAAGGACTTCTCAAAAGGCAATAAGAGGCATTTTCGGCACTTGCTCATTTTTTCTTATTGAAAAGCGTTTTGCGCAGATTTTTTTGCCTATGAAAAAATGACTTTTTCCGTCAATAAAAGAAGTGGATTGCCAAAAAATATCAAGAATTTACAAGGTGACTCCTGAACAAGACATTTTGCAAAAGGGTCAGGAGGTTCTCACTAAAAATTGCTAGAAAAAAAAGACGGTCGCTCATACCATACGCAACCCAACTTCACCTTGTAAATGAAACCTTACTAGAGACATGGCCTAATACACAGGTTTAGTGAGCTTTCCTGCGCGACAAAACTTTGCCGTTTACGGCAACTGTCGACATAGCTGCCCTGCAAGACTTAGCCGGGAGGTACATTAGTGTCCAATGTACTCCTGAGATCTTGCTCTAGCATATTATCATCTGTGTCAGTCTATCACAAATCATATGGACGGCGTCTGTTCTGATTTTGAAGACGATCTAAGGCACTGGTTAGAGGAGCTTTTTGGGGCCAGACCCACTGAGTTTCGGATAAAAGAACTGAATATGTGACTGCATGATGACAGGAGGTCGTAAGCAACAACGAACATGCATTATTGATATAATTTTGCAGAGATTTCGTCATTCTGTTAATTTATAGAAACTTCGCGAACTTATGAAGCGACCCAATAGATTTAGTGTCGCACATTAGCTGCTCGTTTAAGCAGGCATTTGTTCAAGTGAGGCAACTTTGAATTCTCCTGTGCGAGCTGGCATGAGAGCATGTAGATGTTTACCTGTCTTATCAATATGGTGTCTGTGATGTCTCAAAGGGCTTTAAAAGAGAATTGCTGTCTTTCTGCAATTATCCGGGCAACCTAGACTCTGCAAGGACGACTTCGCTATTAGACTGCATTCTTTCTTATTTCAAAGCACTATGTTTGAATGAGCAGCTACCTAACCTTGACGAGTCTGTCTCCATTCTCATTCTGACTTCTCAGGTCAGATTTTCGTTTTTATCATTTTTGCGGCTATTGCTCTTTGTTAATTTCTCTCAAAGTAATACCAGAGCAACATCAATACTTTTTAGCAAATCAGCAACGAGTGAAGAAGAATTCTCAAAACTCTCATAAGGCTAGCAACACTACGATTGGTTGTCTGAAAGTCATGCCTTGAATCGAACACAAAGTTAATTGACCGTCCATCTGTTTTAAGACTGAATTTTCTAATAAAGGTCAATGTCAAAGACATCTTTCCACTGCTACTTTCAATAAACGAACAGCAAATCCCTGGATTGTAATTTGACAACATAATACCTACCACAAACACAAAGTTTCGAAAAAGTTATTTATCAGCTTCCTTAAAGCCAAAATCTAACTATTTCTGTGCACATCAGAGCACAAATTCTGTATCGAACCTTCGTCAAAAGTAGAGGCCATTGATAATAGAAAGCTTTTTTGTTATTGCAATTTTGAAAAAAAAACTGAATTTTTTCTAGAATGAGTGACTCCATGGCAAGTTTCAGTTCATGCTTTCAAAGCCTCTATTCCTTGATGGAAAGTATTAAGTCCTCCAGTCCAACTTTGTTTGCCTCCTCCTAAAATCGTTGCAATATAGGAAAGTGACAAGAGCAAACAAATGTTATGTATGAAATTCATTTTACCTCGTATGCTTTCAACATCTTAAGTATCTCATCCTTTTCTATGTCATTGAGACCGTTGACAAGCTTGAGCATCTATGACAAAGATGCAGTTAAAAGCAAATTTTCAGCAAAAATATCCATTACCTCGGCTTGTTCGGCCTCAGTCTCCTTCTCGGAAAGGTCTTTGCCCAATTTCAGTTTCAATGCTTTTTCGAAAAAGCTTTTTACCTAGAAATTCAATTAGATTTCACTTCATAAAATGACAAGAAGTTACAAGAACAGTAAGAGTGTGTACCTAAGTTTTGCCATATGTCGACAACAATGCTCAAGTTACGAGGCGAACAAAAATATTCAAATGGGGTTGAATGTGGGGCGCGCGTTTGGTGATTCTGCTGAAGAGTTATGTGGTTGCGTGTATGTAAAAAAACTGAATGTTTATGCGGCGTAGTTAGGTTTTCGACTTGTTGCTTCTCTCATTGATATCCTTCTATTTCTAGCAAGAAATGATAATTTTTTGCTTCTACTACTTATGGCCTGCACGGCTCACCTCAGGACTAGATCCATCGATTATCTGCTGCAGGTGCTTTGCTAGAGAGAGCATAGGGAAAACCACCTCATCTGGTTGTTTCTAAAATCCTCAAACTTGCTGCGCAGAGCAAATGAATTTTTATCTCACGCTTGCTTCGTTTTCCTGTTTGTCGTAATTGCTTGAGACGTCTTTGAGCAAATGAGTCACCTTGAATCAAAAAGCAGGTCTGTAGATGAGATCCAGATTTAATTACCTTCGTAAAATCCCGTATACGTTCATCCAAAGTTTCCGTAGCTGTTGCAGCTAGAATGACAATAGATTTGAGAATTAGAAATTCTTGAGCAAACTTTGAAAACTGACTTGGTTACGCTACCGATTTTCAAAAGCTATTCATCTTGCAATTGTTGTATTTGTAGGCGACATCATTCTCGATGATCATTTGTCACAACAACCCTTGTTTGTTTGAGGAAAAAAAACCTAGTGTTTTTGCTTCCTTTTTTTCTTTATTTCTTCTGTTTCAAGTGGGTAGACAAAAGTTTTTTATTCACATTCACGGCATACTCTCCTTATACCTTCCTGCATGTGAATTGATTCGAAAAGGGCGATAGACGGAATGATGGCCGATTTTTCATACCTCTTGTAATGTTCTAAATTGATTTCAATACGTGGAGGCTTACCACTATCTGCATCAGGTCGTGAGTTAACGACACAAATGATCACAAACACGTACGCATATGGAACAGAAACTTGCAGCATTTCAACTGAAAGGTAATTCATTGAGTCATAAAAAATAGGAGGTTTCCGCGAAAGTTAGAGAATAGAGCAATGTGTCAGGTTAAAGGCTGGCCTTGCCTTTGCCTGATGTGTAGCGGTAAGTACATAAGTCTTATTTACTAATATTTATTATTTAGGATAAATATAGGGGAAGTGGGGAAAAGGGGAAGAGGCCGCAGGGGCAACCTGTTGGTCGCGGTCGTCGGGGGTCACCTCCAGCGAGCTTTACAACCCGCTCCAAGAGGAGGGACAGCTGATGTGGACCCGACATCTCCATTCCTTCGAGAAGCTCGTCCTCGAGCTTGTGGCATGGCTGAGGTTTCGAGACGTTGTAGTGGTTGGCGTTGATGTGGTGGATGTTCTTCCGGGTGACGTGCGTTGAAGTTTGCACGTAATTTACGGCGAGAACATACAATTGGAGTGTGGTATATTGAGATATGGCAGAAGTTCTTCCGAGTAACGTGTGTTGGGATTTACACGTGTTTTACGGCGAGAACGTACAGTTGACGTGATGATATATTAAAATACATACAGATGTGAGGATATGGATCCGGTGGACTGCGAGCAGACACGACCTTCACCTAGTACTAGGTGAAGGTCGTGTCTGCTCGCAGTCCACCAACCGGGACGAGTTCTTTTTCGGTGGGTTTTTTTTAGTTTACTTATTATTTTTTTCTCAAGCGGAAAACACAAAAAAATTTTTTTTTTAATTTGGCAAACAAAATAAAAAAAATTTTTTTTCAGCTCATATGAGGTCGGGCCAGAGAAAGAGGTTCAACCTCCACCGCCCGGACAAGCAATGGCGCGCGGACCATCCCTGGGTGCTGGTGCACATGGGCGCATGTGCACCCGCACCCAGAGATGGTCCGCGGATGGTGAAGTATGGGCGAGCAGCTCCACTGCCGGAAAATTTCGCCAAATTCCTACTGAGGAATTTGGGGGGGGGGGATTTCCGAGGTGCAGTTGGAAAATCTGCATTGCGACTCTCAGAAAGAGTCGTGCAAGGCTCGCGGAAAGAAGTACAAATACATCGAGCGGATTTATTAGTATTTGTAATTTATTTTATTATTTATCGCTGTGTTTTTCCGAATAAACTACTTATTGCAAATGTGTAATTTATTGTACCGAAAATAATGTTGTAATCATAGTTTAGGCCACAGTTGGTGGGGTCACAGCCGTTGGAAAATATTAGGGAGTCGTAAATAATCCTTGTTGATGCGCGCCGCCATATTAATTGCTTTGTTTAATGTTGATAGCAGTTGCGTTCGTAAATTTCCTGGGGGATAAGCGCGTGTGGACAGTTGCGCGGTTTAAATTCTTCCGGAGGTCAGCATTCCAAGCTGGATGTAATAGCAATTTGATTAATTGAAGCGCCTAGCATAAATAAAAATATTCATGTAGGGCTTAGGTATACCTTAGGTTTAATTTTGAGCTAGCTAAGCAAACAAGTCCATTGTCTGAAACGTAATTACCATTTTTCATTATTACTTAGACCTAAAAAAAATTAGAAGAAAAAGAAAAATAAAAACTTTTCGAAAATCTCGGATCTCGGTTCTCGGGAAAAAAATAGCGGGGATGATATTTATTATGACGAAGGAAGAGAATAAAAAGAATTTCGGTTTCGAAAGGGAAAAGAGAAAAAAATTATGGATGCTACTTTAAAAATTTCCGGTTTCAGAAAGAAAGGGATGTAAAAGAAATTCGAAATCTCGGTTCTCGGTTCTCGGATCTCGGTTCTCGGGTCTCGGTTCTCGGATTAAATTATTTTATTAGTTATAAATCTAGATTTAGGAAATTTTTAGATCGACGTTTGGGACTGTTCGCAGGACTTTTTTTTTCAAATATTAGGTGATTTTTGTACATATTTTATTTTTCTGAAAGGATTAGACATTCTTTTTAATAGAACAGTGTCGATATGTGTAAAAAAATACTCACTAATTCGTTCGTTTGCGTCCGTCGACAATTCGTTGGAGACGAAGAGGGAAGGGGGGGGGAATAAATTTGCCCAAGAGAAAATTAGTTCTCTTTTCAAAAAATAATTTTTAGAATTCTAAAAATTAGAGGGGTAAAAGGAAGAGAAAAAATTTTTTCAAGCTAAGAAAAACAGGGGGGGGGGGGGGATAAATTCAAATCTTCCCGGTCCTCCATGTCAGGTTAAAGGCTGACCTTGCCTTTGCCTGATGTGTAGCGGTAAGTACATAAGTCTTATTTACTAATATTTATTATTTAGGATAAATGTAGGGGAAGTGGGGAAAAGGGGAAGAGGCCGCAGGGGCAACCTGTTGGTCGCGGTCGTCGGGGATCACTGTCCTCCAGCGAGCTTTACAACCCGCTCCAAGAGGAGGGACAGCTGATGTGGACCCGACATCTCCATTCCTTCGAGAAGCTCGTCCTCGAGCTTGTGGCATGGCTGAGGTTTCGAGACGTTGTAGTGGTTGGCGTTGATGTGATGGATGTTCTTCCGGGTGACGTGCGTTGAAGTTTGCACGTAATTTACGGCGAGAACATACAATTGGAGTGTGGTATATTGAGATATGGCAGAAGTTCTTCCGAGTAACGTGTGTTGGGATTTACACGTGTTTTACGGCGAGAACGTACAGTTGACGTGATGATATATTAAAATACATACAGATGTGAGGATATGGATCCGGTGGACTGCGAGCAGACACGACCTTCACCTAGTACTAGGTGAAGGTCGTGTCTGCTCGCAGTCCACCAACCGGGACGAGTTCTTTTTCGGTGGGTTTTTTTTAGTTTACTTATTATTTTTTTCTCAAGCGGAAAACACAAAAAAATTTTTTTTTTAATTTGGCAAACAAAATAAAAAAAATTTTTTTTTCAGCTCATATGAGGTCGGGCCAGAGAAAGAGGTTCAACCTCTACCGCCCGGACAAGCAATGGCGCGCGGACCATCCCTGGGTGCTGGTGCACATGGGCGCATGTGCACCCGCACCCAGAGATGGTCCGCGGATGGTGAAGTATGGGCGAGCAGCTCCACTGCCGGAAAATTTCGCCAAATTCCTACTGAGGAATTTGGGGGGGGGGGATTTCCGAGGTGCAGTTGGAAAATCTGCATTGCGACTCTCAGAAAGAGTCGTGCAAGGCTCGCGGAAAGAAGTACAAATACATCGAGCGGATTTATTAGTATTTGTAATTTATTTTATTATTTATCGCTGTGTTTTTCCGAATAAACTACTTATTGCAAATGTGTAATTTATTGTACCGAAAATAATGTTGTAATCATAGTTTAGGCCACAGTTGGTGGGGTCACAGCCGTTGGAAAATATTAGGGAGTCGTAAATAATCCTTGTTGATGCGCGCCGCCATATTAATTGCTTTGTTTAATGTTGATAGCAGTTGCGTTCGTAAATTTCCTGGGGGATAAGCGCGTGTGGACAGTTGCGCGGTTTAAATTCTTCCGGAGGTCAGCATTCCAAGCTGGATGTAATAGCAATTTGATTAATTGAAGCGCCTAGCATAAATAAAAATATTCATGTAGGGCTTAGGTATACCTTAGGTTTAATTTTGAGCTAGCTAAGCAAACAAGTCCATTGTCTGAAACGTAATTACCATTTTTCATTATTACTTAGACCTAAAAAAAATTAGAAGAAAAAGAAAAATAAAAACTTTTCGAAAATCTCGGATCTCGGTTCTCGGGAAAAAAATAGCGGGGATGATATTTATTATGACGAAGGAAGAGAATAAAAAGAATTTCGGTTTCGAAAGGGAAAAGAGAAAAAAATTATGGATGCTACTTTAAAAATTTCCGGTTTCAGAAAGAAAGGGATGTAAAAGAAATTCGAAATCTCGGTTCTCGGTTCTCGGATCTCGGTTCTCGGGTCTCGGTTCTCGGATTAAATTATTTTATTAGTTATAAATCTAGATTTAGGAAATTTTTAGATCGACGTTTGGGACTGTTCGCAGGACTTTTTTTTTCAAATATTAGGTGATATTTGTACATATTTTATTTTTCTGAAAGGATTAGACATTCTTTTTAATAGAACAGTGTCGATATGTGTAAAAAAATACTCACTAATTCGTTCGTTTGTGTCCGTCGACAATTCGTTGGAGACGAAGAGGGAAGGGGGGGGGAATAAATTTGCCCAAGAGAAAATTAATTCTCTTTTCAAAAAATAATTTTTAGAATTCTAAAAATTAGAGGGGTAAAAGGAAGAGAAAAAATTTTTTCAAGCTAAGAAAAACAGGGGGGGGGATAAATTCAAATCTTCCCGGTCCTCCATGTCAGGTTAAAGGCTGACCTTGCCTTTACCTGATGTGTAGCGGTATGTACATAAGTCTTATTTACTAATATTTATTATTTAGGATAAATGTAGGGGAAGTGGGGAAAAGGGGAAGAGGCCGCAGGGGCAACCTGTTGGTCGCGGTCGTCGGGGGTCACTGTCCTCCAGCGAGCTTTACAACCCGCTCCAAGAGGAGGGACAGCTGATGTGGACCCGACAAATGTAAATCATGTTGATATGTATTAAATTACATTATAATTCACTAAAAATAAGGAAAGGGTGGGGTAAGATGGAGTATTAAAAGGAAGTACAGATCCAGTAGAATTCGCAAGAGCCACTCTTATACATATTATGCATTATTATACAATAGTAACAGTGCACTTCCAGATAGTAGTCATCGTCTCACAATCTGACAAGAATATTCCAAATTTGTAACGACGTGGTATTTTACTTATGTGATTCGTGAAACTAATGATGCTCAGAAAATTGTATTAAAGAAGAGAAATGAGATGAAGAAAGAAATGATTATTTGGTCAGAAGTAACTCAGACTAATCAAAATAAAAATTTCTTTCGGAACTGTACAAAACCTACAGTCTATGTCTGCGCGCATTGGTTTTGAATATCGTATGCTAAAATTGCCCACGCGCACTGCCACGTCACGCAGGATACGCGGTAGGGTTGAGCGCCAGCGCACCTCGCATTGCGGGGGGGGGGGCTAGTTTCGTATAGGGTGTTTGCCACAAAAATGTTTTTGACACTGACTGTATCTTCCATAAAGCTTAGGCCGTGAAATAGCAAAAATCCTTGGCTTGCCGCCAAGTTGGCAAATGTATTCATTCACTCGTGCATTCTTTGCGATATACTGGGTCAGCTGGGCAGCTTATCCCATAGCAGTTAAATGAATTTTTGAGCTTTGCTTAACGCATTTACCATCGCTAGTCATTAGAACTTCATTCCTGACTTACGATGGAGATTGCGCTAAAACCACGTGTCGCGGCTCGCGATGCAAAACAATCCTCGTGACAGGAAGCCGGGAACGCTGGTTGTCGCGTTACTGGGCGCGATATCGTAGTTCGTGCTCGGACCTCTCCTCTTGGGCGCTTTGCCAAGCCAAGGGGTATATAAGGCCGTGCTAACAACGGTCTGGGCCTCCTCGAGTTCGTTCTTTATTGATTACTTTTAACCTCGTTATCGTGCCAGCAGCCCCTCCAGCAGCTTCCGCAGATGGATGTCGGTTTCGAGCGTTAGTCTTAGTCCGTAGTTCTTCTTGTGTCTGGAAACGCGCAGCTAAACAGTGCGCTTCTTTAAGCAGACGGAAGACATTGTGTGTGTGGAGAGGGGTCGCGCCGTCCCGTGAGGACTTGGAACTGGCGACTGACTTTGTGGACAAACTTTGAACTTCACGTTGGAGAATATCGCCTTGAAGCATTAGCAGCGCGGGCTGTTCCGTACCTTTATTCCTTTTTTAGTTAGTAATTAGTAGTTCTGTATAGTTCATGTTTATGCTTTTGTTGTAGTAAATGTAATTTGATCCAATCGCGCTTTGTGATTGGCATTTTTATCGTGCGGGTATCGGGAAGAAGACATTGAGCAGACGCGCCTGGAATGGTGAGCAGACTGAGCCGCAACACCACGCACAGCTGGACGAAGTAGACTGCGCACAAAGATTTTGGAACGCTTGTTTTATAATTGGAGTAGGTATAACAAACTCACCTTTTCCAATTTTCGAGTGAATACTACAACTCTCTACCAGAACTGGTTGCAATGAAGGAGGTTAGTATCAGCAAATCTTTGACAAATCAGGATGTGCAACGAATGTAGAAGACTCATAAGTCGACTGTGCGGCAGTGTTGAGCCCACATGCACGGAGCTAATATTAGATCTACGCAAAAGTTTTGTCATTTTTTCAAACCCACCCGCAAATACGGTAGCATAAACACAAGAAAATACTTCAAGAACTAAACGCAAAATTTCTTTCACTTTCGGCTTCATATCCACAACGCGATTGTTTGAAAGAATGCTAAGATGCAAGGTGCTTTGGCTTAGCTGTCCGAAGCTATATCTAGTTGAGTTTGACGACTTTTGCTGGAAAATTGACCGAAGTATCTACTTTACTGTTACTTGTTAATCTATTGTTTTTTGATCTTCTACATCTATGTTACAAAATCATTACGAGAGTTATAAAAACTAACTATATGCTGAGACTAACTTTTTGATCTTTACCTGGCAATTTGAAATCGCACCCCTCAAGATACACCCCTCCCCCTCTCCCTAAACTGAACTTGGTATTTGATACATGTGGGCTTAGCTACGACGACGACCTGATTGCAATCCAGCACCAGGACGTTTGATACATTGTCTTTGGCCTTCAAATGTTCATTGTATCGCTCTGCTTTTTTGTGATAAAGTCTAACGCACATTGCGCATCAAATCATTTCGCCGAACATGAGACGTTATTGCAGCGCATTGGCGCTTTCGCATGCGTTTGAAATTAACTCGTAACTTGAAGTGTTCAGTTTTTATGAGATTCATAATCAGTCATTGTGCGAAAAGACCGCTTGTCCGTATTCGATTTTGATGAAAATTTTATGCAATTATTTTGCATGATTAGCTAGAAACTCTGGGAAGCACTCTATGAGATGTTCATCATAAAGCTGTAGCACTTCGGTCCACAGTAAATCTAGGTCGTAGAAAAGAATTCTCAACATTCTACCACAAGCAGCAACCTAAAATTCAATTTTTGATTAGTTGTGATCAGTGTCATGAGCTATTCAAAGCAAACTGCGGCTTTCACACTTGTAAACAAGATAAGAGCTAAGGCTTCTTTTTCTTTCAGCTGCCATCGGTTTTCGATGAAAAATCGATGAAAGATTTCCTGATGCAAATAGCAAACGATTGCAAAATGTGGCAATAATAGGTAATATCACATCATTCTTTGAGCAAGAAAATTCAAAAGTTTTACAATTCAGAATAATATGCAAAAAATCAATTTTTAGTTAAGGGTATTCCTTTTCATGAGGAGTCTTGTGAAATTTACAAAACACTATGTTGTTACATTCGAGGAAAAGAGCGAGATTGATTGCTTAGCCACTAGTCTGTTATTTAATGGACAAATGACACAGTTGTTAGACACTTCGAACAAACTAGCGCACACAGCAAGGCGAAGGACATAGTGTGCGTACCGCTCGACAATTTATTACGAGGCAGTGATACTCACCGTTCCAGTCTTTCCTAAAAAAATTTGATGGAAGAGTATTTCTTGCCTTCCTTTTTCTAAAATTTGGCAAGCGCAGCTTGCTAGTATTGCTACTGTATGACAAGTGCAGATCAAATGTGATTCTAAGACATTTACAAAAACAGGATTTAAGAACTTGTTATTGTGCATTCTGTCACTAAACAGAAATTATTTCTCAATTATTGATAGAAAATTTTCAACCGGAACAAATCTTTTCACGCTTCTAGTGTGTTGATGGCGGGAAGGTTTGGAGAGAAGCTGCGGATACAGTCACAAAAGTTGAGTTTACTTAAACGGACGTTCTGTTTCTTGAATATTACTGTTTCGCGTAGGTCATAATGAGCAACAAATTGCATAGAAAGCCCTTCCTGAATCTTTTATAGGGCCGCATGCACTAACATCCCCGCTGGGGAGGGGATCACAGCTTAAAAGAAAGCTTTATATTTCGAAACTCCAGATACCTGGATTTCACCTTGTGTACCTATCCGTAAGTATTCCTACCACCCTTCACTATGAACATGCTGAAGAGGAGCGAGAAGCTGTACGAACCGTATTTTCCAGCTTTTGTATGATCCCTGATGATCCCCGGCGCTTTTTTTAAGTCATTTTTCTTTCTTCGAAGTTAACGAAAAACCTCCAAAGTTGTGCAGATTATCTAACCCGACAGTGCTAAGCATGTTGCTGATAAGAACAAATGATGTTTTGAAGTCATGAAATTTTCAATGATCCACAGGTCGAAATTTGAGGTTTACCGAAAAATTCGACTTTTCAAAAACTCATTTGTTCTCATCAGCAACTTGCTTAGCACTGTTGTGTTAGATGTTTAGTACAACTATGGAAGGCCTTCGTTAACTTCGGAGAAAGAAAAATGACTTCAAAGAAAAGCGCCGGGGATAACGGGAGGGATCATACAAAAGCTAGAAAATGCGGTTCGTACAGCTTCTCGCTCCTCTTCAACATGTTCATAGTGAAGGATAGTAGGAATACTTACGGATAGGTACACAACGTGAAATCCAGGTACCTGGAGTTTCGAGATATAAAGCTTTCTTTTGAGCTGCGATCCCCTCCCCAGCGGGGAGGTTAGTGCATGCGGCCCATAGACTTACCCCTACCTCCCCTTTGTCAACTCTCCTTGCGTTTACCGTTTTGCGGTTAAAAGCAAAGGAGATATCGTTTTTGTGGGTTTCTCGAAAGCACTCGAAAACAATTACCTCAAATTTGTTTTCCTCCAACAGATCTTTGCCGCTATCCCTTTCTCTCCCCCCTCGCTCCAAAGAGGTATCTCTCTCCTTTTGCCACATGAACCATATATGTTATATACTACACAATTTTATATATACTACACAATTCACGACTATCCTCCTCCTCCGCCCATGGACAATCACCGTCTTGTTCTTAATCAGCTTCAAATCCCCTCAACTGCTTTCATTTACAACCTATCAAAAAAGGGTGACGCGATCTGCTTCAGCGCACACTGGTCACACATGACAAAATGCTACAAAGCAGTTATTACAAGTAACGTTAGCTTTGCCATACTGCCGTTACTTCAGTTTCTCTAGGGAATGTTTCTACAATCTTTTTAATTCCCAATTCTATGGTCCTTGATGCAATCATTCTAGTCTGTGTACTGCTGACTAATTTTGTAGTTGATAATTAAATAGAAGAACGAATGATTTATGGACTCGAATTGACGACTACGCAAATTTTTGATTATCTGCCTCTTAGGACCGAGAGCTTTCACGAACCAGTCAGCATTTTTCAAATAATGTCAGGTATACTGCCATCTGCAGTATACCTGCAGAAGCTGTGAAAGGCTGACAAAGAAGTTAGAGGCCATATTTAGATTTAGAACAAAAAAAAACTCCTGGAATGAGTTTATTCTAAAATAGTCGTCATTTCAACAAACTTCAAGCCTTAGCACACCATGTGTCTCAGGCGGTCCCACATGGTAATTATTGCTTGACACAAATCGTGTGTCAAGCGGTCGTCAACGTGTTGACGAACTGATTCCAAGTCTACCTTTCTTATCTGCTAAGTGCTTTTCTAGGAGAAGGTATGGGCGGTTAAAGATGTCAATGAAGTTAATTGGGTTTTCATGCGTAATGTGCTTTGAAAACCAGCTTGATTGTGATTAATCGGCATGCTTTTGAGTGCACTACAAGGAATGCATACATACTCCGAACGCACAAATAAGGGTTTTCGAACAGATGGTTCTCGAAGATGTGGTACTGAATGTTTGCCAAACCTTGGGTATTCAAACACTCATAACTTTTCTAGAGAAGAGCTTAGCAGATATGGAAGTTAGATCTGGAATCAGCCCATCAAGACGCATTTAATGGTAGGCACACCATTTCAATTCGCCACTGCGATCTGGTATCCTTCCCTTGTGAGGTTATTTGAGCACAATCTTGTAGGGCTTGCTAATCCAATCGATGTGTTTATATGTTTTTATAACTTCTCTGCCGCTTCAGAATAAGGAGCATGCAAAAAAAGATGCTTAAGCCTTATACTATTTTGATGCTCTATCTGTCGAAGCACTGTTGTATCCAAGTGAAAGTTGTAAATAATCTACAGAACTGTGGATTTCCGTGGACAGCTAAGTAACTGTGTGGCCAAACCAGCTTGTTCATTTGTATTTAAATTCGCATATGGCTTTGAAAGGCAGCGTCCAGGCAAATCTGGACCTATGGAGATTTTACGTTGAATGTAATTTTGGAACCCTAACTAAGGCATGCCCAAGCGGCAGCGCAGGTAAGTCAATAACTGAGATATGCGCCTCCAAATTAGACACTACGATCGTATTTCGCATGCAGTCATGGCGCAACCCACCAGTTTTGCGCGAGGACGTACAATACCGCTCTCAGAACGTGCAAAATTTCCGTGAATGTCGCGGAAACCCCGGAATTCCGCGAAGGACCGCGAAATTTTCGGAATTTCGCGACATTTCCGGAATTTCGCGACATTCACGGAAATTTTGCACGTTCTGAGAGCGGTATTGTAGGGGTTGCCCATGAATCCATGTGAAATACGATTATGAGGTTCAGTTTTAAGGGAAATATCTCAGAAGTTAGAGCGTTACCTGAGCTGCCGGTTGTTCAGTGGCTTAGTTGTGGTTTCATAATAACTATTCACATACCCCATATGTCCAACTTTGCCCGGACGCTGCTTCAAATATAATTTTCTTCAAAAGCTGAGGCTAAGTAGTGAAGGAGTGGAAGGCTTTATTGGAACTTCTTTCTAAGATTTGCAGTCGTGATCATTGCGCTACAAATCAACCTGTCATTATTTACTACAACACACGTCAATTTACCACTTGCTCTAATTGACTCAACTTTTTATGAATGCACAGAACAAAAAAAGCGCCGGTCGATTATAAGCAAATCAATTCTTTCTAGGTGCACTAAATCGAAGTTAATATGAGTTTCTTTACTCTGACAATCACATGTGTAATTAACTTTTCTGGAAATCTTCAATCCGTATCGTCTGGCAAAGATCCAAGAAGTTCTTCAACTCCGAGATCTCTCGCTTTTTGCTATAAGGTCGTAATTATATGCAGAACAGAACTCAAATTAGAGGCTATGCAGGTCCTTGATTCTGCCCTGCAGATGTTTTTCTTCAGAGAAGAATTTACCTACCTCATGTAGATCTTCCAGCTCCTTGACTTCATTCTTTTCTGCTTCACTGAGACTGTCGTAAAGTTTGTCCACCTGTAATCTTTCATAAACAGTCATATGTGTTTTCTGATATGTCTCATCTATGTACTCCAAAAATTAATACACATTATTAAATCAATCTGAATCAAACCTATACGCACAGGTTTTGGACTGAGTAACATAGGCAGCACCTTTCACAAAAAAATTGTTGCATTTACTTGTTCTCTAAGTGGAGAAGGGGAAGAGTTGAACCTTTTGGCTATGCAGGGAAACTTCGATCTTATTGCTCGTACAAGAGTAACATCTGAGACATCTTCTCTGTCTGCATAAGCATTCGCACAGCATATACTGAGTTGCATTATCAGCTTGGTGACTGATTAATGCTCCAAAGGTCGCTAATGATTTCAATGTAGCGCCTTCATTTTTTGGTATATAGATTAGTGTGTGAACTGCAAACGCAGCTATCTTGTCCAAATTCCGTCATCGCAAGTGAAGGTTAGGGTAGGGTTTACGGCAACAAGAAGAAATTTTAGTTTACCCTAAAATCTATTGCAAATTGGGATTATTCGACATGATCACGTCAGAAATACCCGTTGCGCATCAAAAGCCTCTTGAGTTTTAGATTATCTTAGCAATGAATGCATGCATATTCGTGTTCAGCTGTGAAATTAATCTAATATGTGACTGCCGCTTTTTAGAAACCTTGCTCATCGCGTTTGAAGTCGCTGGTATGCTAGCTAGTTTGGTCGAACAAGAATCATTGTCGATAGAAAGATGATAATACTTCTAAAATGTGACTTTGAGGATTTTGAGAAACACAGAAGGTACGTATGCGAAACGCTACAGTAATGTAACACTTGGGGTTTCTTCTTTTCTCAAAAAAGACACGCCAAAATCGGAGAAGGTTCAACAAACTTTCACTCGAATAATATATATGAGGCGCTAACAAAAGCCTAATGTTCATTCACACTGTGGTTGCAGCTTAACCGTTCATCCTTCTCCGCTAATGCTTACTCTATACTCCTAGTGCAAGAGCTATAAATTTATAAATGTACGGTTTGATTTACCTAAAAACCAGCACTTTGTTTATCTCATTATCCGTTGCAAATCAAGACAACTTTGTTGAACTACCCTGAAATCCCATAGATAAGAGCGGTTTAATTTACCGGTGAAAAATGAATTGGAATGAAATTGAAATTGGCAGTCACCCCTCTAACTTGATGGATGGATAAATAAAAATCGGAGAAAAAGTTTAGAAGAAGCTCCGCCCCTCCTAAACCCCGCCCACTTAATAAACAATTCATATAGAAATTCCGAAATTCCGTTAAAATCGCTATTTTTCTATATGAATTGTTTATTAAGTGGGCGGGGTTTAGAGTTGAGGGGAGAACTTCTTCTAAACATCTTCTCCGATTTTTATTTATCCATCCATCAATTTAGAGGGGTGACTGCATTCAATTTTAATTTCATTCCAATTCATTTTTCACCGGTAAATTGAACGCTCTTATCTATAGGATTTCAGGGTAATACGTTCGTTGGGCGCATCACTGAATGCATAAACAAATAAATGAATAAATAAAATCAAATAAATAATACTTCTAAATGCGCCTGAACTATATCAGAATTTCTGATTGGTATTGATTAGAGAGCAGCCAAAAACACCCAAATACAACTAAAAAGAATATCACCTACAGAGCAGTTGCTGGAACTAGAGCACATAGATGAAACTAATGACAAAGTGGACTAGAAGGGCTCCAGGTCAGGAGTCAAACCGCGCGCCGGCTTCTCGCCGCATCCAAATTTTGTGCCCCACATAACTCTCCGGTGCTGAAGCTGCACGAGCCATAGTAGGGAAGGGGAAGGTGGGGGGGGGGCAGATACATAACTTGATGGCATAAGTAACATTGAGATGAGGGTACTAAGCGAAGCTGAGACTTGTACGGCTTGACGTCGCGGTACGGCGTCGCTTCGCGAAAAAACGTCTCCTGACCCGTACCTGACTGAAAGTATGTTCAAAAGGAAAGTTTTAACTTTAGGCTGCTGCATGTTGAAGGCGCAAAATTTTTGGGCTCGAACGCCGTCTCATTAGCCACAGAGCGCATGATGCGCAGGATTTACAACGGGGAAGATATGTGTGAGCCGAGTTCGCGCCCGCTTAACTAATACTGCTTCTGCGCCTTCGTCATGCAGCAGCCTTTGAAAATTTCATGGCTATATGCAATACAAAGGTCACAGATATAAGGTAAGACTACACTTCGTCGAGAAGAAAAACCAATGGTCGTATTCATCAACGAGCCCTCAAGAGTAGTGCTCATCCCGAAAGCGATTTACCCGTATACACGAACACTACCTTGGGATAAAAATTGACATTGAGGGTAGATTTTACTCCAAAAAGCAAGTCTTATTACGTATATGTCTATCTAAGGGCTTTGATATGACGCTTTAACATGACACCAGGATGTTTTCCGCTCTTTATGGCGCTTTTAAGAGTTTCACCGGCAACATTTGACGTTTCCTTTTTCACACGGAAATTACTTTTTTTGAAAGAAATAACTTTGGTAGCGGAACAATGACTCTATAGAGGTTGCAGGCACCGTCCAACCATATTCTCATCTGCATGTTTTTGTCTTTTTGAGGCCTTCTCCCTGTCCCTGAGCCCAAATCATACCTTCGGTAGTCTAGAGACAGGGCGTCAAAAGTGAAGGTTGTTTGAACATCTGACATCTCAAATAGTGAAGGTTGTTAAGATTAGAGAAGAGGATATGATAAAACAGATGTAAAAAGCAAAAGAAACTGCTGAAAACCGGATAAAAACGCGGCAAAAAGGTCTGAAGCCTTTCATTTGGCGGCTTTCCAAAGTGCAAGTTTTCGCTCCAGGACCATCAATTTGCAACACGGGGTTTTGATTTTTGATGCGTCCTTTAAATTTTTACCCCCGTATTGACGTTCCTGTTTCCTGGGACGTTGTCTGGATTGTTGCGCTTATTGCTCTGAGCAATAATCGCCCAAGCTGGAAAAAAATCGATGCGAAAGCACTGAAACAGAACAAGGTATAGAAAAACGCACTTTTAACGATTTCTCGCAAAAATTTCCACCATAATCGAGGAGGTAAGGGCTGGGTGGTTGTCTGCATTATGAACAGAAGCAAGATATATAGAATGCACGAAAAAACCGCGTGAAAATAGTTAAACTAGGAGAAAAACAAGAGATTTTCGGAAACAAGGTTTTTGCCGGATTTCTCGATCAGATCAAAAAATGTGGTTCTGGGACGTTGTCAGCGTGAAAATAGAGATCAAGAGCTTCAAAATAATATATAGCTTGCTGAAATTGGGTTCGAAACAGCAAAGAAAAGGGTACCAGAGCCAAATGCCCCGCGCCCCGCACTTGGGGTAGCGAGATAGCGCGCAGTGCGCGGAGACGCAGACGAGCAGCGGAGACAGACCAGAGCCGACGAGGCATTTGGCTCTGGTAGTAGATCTCCGCGGGGTCTCAACGATACCCTGCAACATTACATATCATTTTGATCGTCATGACACGACGAGGAGAACTGACAACATCCCAAGCTTTGAAAATCACTCATTAACGAGATAGATCAGCGTTTTTGTGCGCGACTCTCTGCGCAAGATTTAAGCGCAGTTTCTCGTTTTTATTTAACTCCAATAGCTTTCCTAAACTTCTGAAACTCGATGTTATTCAAATGAGAGCATAACTGAGAAATTTTGTCTTGAATTCTGGCGAAGATTCCACAGAAACCTTTTTTTAAGGTGAAAAAGGCTATGAAAACGCAAATATTCGGTTTCGCTGAGATAAGCTATAGATATTATCCCCTACATTTGCTTCAATAACATTAGTTCCGATATAGTCAGGATAATAACATTCGGGGCGAAGCCCCGGATGATTTCTGTTTTTTTCCAGGTGAAGGATGTGTTCCCCATAGGCCTCAAAGTGAAGTTTACCAGAGTACGTGGCTCTATGTATCGAGGTTATGGCCCGAATATGAAGTCGAGAATTCGCGAAACCTCGCAACATCGGAACGGCCGGTGCGTTGCCGCCAAGAGGTCTTCTGCCTCTCCGTTGTTTCGCAGCAATTTTTTCGCTTGAGCAACGTATTGCACCGCGATTTCGGCATTGCCTTGATAGGGAGCCCGATTATCGTGTGCTGCCAAAAGCTTAAAACCACCTAACTTGGGTGAACGGTGAGTTTAAGGTTGACCATTATCTCTCATTATTTACTATACAAAGTAGAAATTGCAGTGCAAGCCAAATAACGAAACCGAAATAACTTCGTCTGCACATTCTTTGAGGGTGAAGAAGTGCAACATAGAGAAGTTTGCATCTAGCAGTGTGTTTTGAAAATTACGCACCTCTTTATCTTGTTCAGCTTGACTTTTCCTGTCAAAATCAATATCTGCAGTCAAATCGTAAATTTTGTGAAATACTTCTTTCACCTGTAACATGCCTGTTTTTTGCCTAACATTCTTTACACATAAACCCACTCTTGCAGAAGCGTTTTCAACGCGTTCCATGATGAAATCATGCAGATCAGTGAGATTACCTATTGTCTCCAATGTGATCCTCTGAAAAGAGGTAATCATTGATACAGAAGCAAAGATAGCTACTTAGGCATTTACAGACATCAGTATAGTTGTGCAGAAGAGGTCCAATTTCCTGCAAGCGCTCCTCTTTTGAGAGGGTTCTATTCCTTACAACTTTTATTATCTGAAAGTTCGCATTTACGGCTATTGAAGGCATGTAGAAAGAACCTACTTCTACCTCTAAAAATTCTTCTATTTTATCATCGCCAATCATCGGTAGTAAAACGGTGTCATCTAAAAGAGTTTCTCTTGGGGGATGTGAAAAATGTAGGAAAAGCTTTTCTATACTCTTATCTTGTTGCCATTTCTAATTTTTATGACTTGACGTGAAAGATATAACTAAGCTTTATAGGCTACAAGCGGATTCAAAGTTAAGAGCTTTGGAAAGGTTACCTACACTCGTTTTGAAAAGCCTTCTACAGTGATTTGTTCCAATAAATTTGCTTTCAAACATCTTGAAAAATGAGATTTTGAAAACTTTTTTGATAGACAGTGAGAAATCATCTAGAAAAATTCTGGAAAGAAAAAGGCAAAGTTTGGCTATGATTTGCAGAAAGTCCATGCCTGCTCTTCAGAGTCTTTGAGTCTCCAACACTTTGACGTGCTATAACTTTCTAAAATATCCATATTTTTCAAAGCGGCAAAGTTCATCGGAGGCACCGAACCTCTCTCTATACAGCGCACATTAACTTATTTTAACATCGCAAATCGGTAGAAAAATATGGATTGATAAGCAAAAAAAAATTTTTTTCGGAAACCTTGTCTTTAACTGATCATAACTTCCTTCAAGATTTGTCGTTATAAATGATAAGTTGACTATCTTGTAGCCGCAAGCCAGTAGTACAAAAAAAGTACAAAAGGGCTCATATAGAGAATATTTGCGAAAAGTAAAAAAGATAATATTTAAAATTGTCCGATTTTTTCGACATTTTTTCGTAGCCCTCAAAATCCCAAAATATGGAGATTTTTGATTTTCTGTGTACTCAACAGCTTTCATAATTCTACAAAAACTGTCAAGAGGAGGCCCGCCTTTACGCTTACAGCAATGAGCAAAACTTTGGCGATTGCCCTCTTCAAAAAAAATCTATGGGCCACAACATGGCCAAAACCATCACTCATGTTGAGGCGCCGAGATCTCAGTCTAAGTAATTTCTAGAAAAACAGTAAAGCGTGCATAATGTAGAAAATTTCTACTACATACAGTATTTAAATTTTCAAAAGAATGCTTATACTCGCGCTTGAATTCTGACCGAAAAAGTAAGTGCAATGAAATTCTGGTTTTGAGTGTGGTTGTATAAAGCTCTATAAAGTTTTAACGAATGAGGCTAAAGATTCTTTCAACCATCATTGATTAGAGCATGAAAGAAGCTTCTTGACAATATGGTGGGTAAGTTTCATAGGAGAAACTCCGATGGAGAAAAGCTATCTTGAAACAAGGGATAGGAAAACGCGCATTACTTTTGCACCAACCTAATAATAACTCCTTTGTAATGAAGTCTTTTAAGAAGCCTTAGGTATTATTTTGTAGACCTAGCTTCAACTTAGATCAACTATAGAACGAATCACCGACATCTCTTCATTATTGTATTCCGGTACAAACTTTAAAGATGGTTTTGAGTTATAAAAGGTCATATTTTGCCTCAGAAAAGAAGCAAAACAGCCTGAAAACTTTCGCACTGGCCCGATTAGAGTTGCTAATTCTGGAAGTAAAGTTCGCAACTTATTATGATGCTTCATTCCAGCTCTACAAAACGTTACTCAAAGTTTCTTGAAAGACTTCATTTAGAGAGTTATCAACAATCACAGAGTAGGCACATTTTTTGGGACACGCTGTATAAGTGAGCCACTGCCAAGCTTGAAAGGTTCATTACAAAGTTTACACTCTGTTATGATCTTTATCTTGTTACTTATAAATATGCATTGTTTACATACTACTGAATCAGGAATAATTAGAAACATAATGTTGCAAAGTTTCAACTATTGACTTGTCTCATAAATGTCTTTTCATATATGAGTTTCCACCGGCTTGAGTCATTTCTTCTTTTTGTGATAGTACTCAAAAGCAAAGCAAGCTCTACAAGATGGCACTTATAGCCTTTATCGGCATAAAGTTTTGAGCCAAAACATGGAAAAGTTTGAGTGCTCATAGTAACGAAAAAGGTATTCAGATCTTGAAGGCATGTCTATTCTTCCACTGTTTCAAATCTATCCTACAAAATCCTATTCTCTCAAGCATATACGCACATCAGACATTCAACATACACTTGCTGTATCTAGTTGTTTTATTCAGTTGTAACATACATAAGGCAAGAGACCCGGAAAAAAGTAATAAGCGTTTGACAAACTTTGCCTCTGGCTGTCTGGGCTCTTCTCCCATTTATGTATTCATATGAGTGATACATAGCTGCCGTACTTTAGCACATTGCTAGGTGCCCTAATTTTGAGACTATTAATATGAAGATTCAAATACGAAAAGTGTTGTAGGCCTAGCTAGTAGTCATGCGAACCAAATAGAATTCTGTTCAAAAGGCTGAAATCGGTAAATTGTAACGAGAGAAGGTTCAAACGAGAAGAATGCTTACTGCTATGTTGAAGAACATCGTTGTTGTTTACGGCCATGATACCAACGATGATGAAGTGAAAAGGAGTGAAGCGAGTCATTGCAAGCAATCTAAGGAGCGGCGAACAACGCTTATGGGCACACACTGAATGGCGCAACAAGCAAAGAATTTAAGTGCCTCATGACACTGAATGTATGGTTGCAGTGGTTTTTCTATAAGACCGGCTTGCTTGTTTAAGATTTATGAAAGAACGAAATGATATGAGAATAGTACAATTGCAAAAACGGCACTAATGCAGAGATTCGGTTTCAAAAAAACATGGAATCAGGTTTTCAGATTCAAGCAATCTTTACTATTGATGTTTGAGAGACATGGAAAAACCATCAAGATTCCACAGCACCTTGAACATAGAGTCGTTTTGCCTTCAAATGTTCCCGCATCAGGAGTAACAAACAGTATTTTCGATTACTTCATTTACACAGTAGAAGAGAGGTCAATTCATGCTTACATTATTTCCAATGCTTGTAAAAATTGATAGGGAGTCAACATGAAGGTCAACTGTGGTCAATATGATAGTGCGAAAAAAATCGGAAACATTTTGTTCGACATTTTTTGCTTTATATTCTCAGATGCAAACAAGGATTGTTTTCAAGGGAAATTTCGGTTCTACATTGTAAAAAGAGTTACACCACCTGCCTGTGCCTTTTCTTCCAAAGCATAAAACTTTTTTCATTCTAAGAATTCAGACATTCACTTATAACAATCACAAATTGTTTAAAGAAAGGGTACGCTCTCTCGTACTTTTGAATGCTAGTTAAATAAGGAACTGCGCAAAATTTTCCCTTCTAGAAATTTTTTCAATGAAATGTTTCCCAAATAAGGTTGAGCAAGAGGTGTGGGACACATGCCGCATACAACCGCTCTCCCCTTAAGTTCTATCACAATCAATAGACCTTCCAACACTATGTTCACCTTCCTTAAACATAATGAGGAGGTTATACTAAACATAATGAGTATATTGTAATTAACATGCCAAACCCGTGTGGATCGAGGCATAGCTCAAGTGAGATGGCCATTTTCAAGGACCAATTTCAAAGTTGTTAGCTATCTTTTTTTGTACTCAGTACGAAGGCTATTCCTTCAATCCCTATTTATAGCACTCAAAGTGTGTTTTCTTACAATTTATGTGCTAGGAAGCACTTCTCATCAAACCCACCCTGTTCTGATGTGACTGATGATGAAAATCTAGCAAGGGTTTTGATTTCAAAAGACACGTTTGCGCCACCATTCTAAAAAATGCACCTTGCCACGTTGCACCCTTGGGCTCTTTTCAACGACATGTGAAAAGCTTTATGAAAGCTGATTGGCAACACTGGAACACTTGAACACGTCTATATAAGGGATAGCTTTGTTTTCGCGCATATTTCTGTACTACCACAACATGCTTCTGCAGAAGCAAAAGATACATTGTATGTTTATACAGGTCCAAAATCAATCACTTTTTCGGCGGCCCTTTGATAGAATAGTCCAGGCTTTGACGTTCATAGTCCACTGCATCATGCTGTGGGAGGAGGTCTCCCTTAAAGTCAATATTTTCTCAACTCCTCACTACTTCCTTCGACAAACACCTATAAACCGTAATAGTGGATCATAAAGACTTGAATACTGGTAGTGTTTTGAGTTATGTTCTAACATGGTCTGTGTTCTTTTTCGTTAGTCTGTGTTCATCAGTCAATGTCTATTTACTTGTACTCTTCACTTTCTATTCTTATCTTACTGCGGTGGGGGTATTTTCCGAATGCATTATCGTCACGCTCGATATTCGACACATGATCACTTATGCTGGGTTCATACTGATTCCCATATTCTGGAACTGTTCCTGCACATTTCCCGCACTGTGCTGGAACTGTTCCGGAACAGTGCTGCATGCGCTGCAACTGCCCGCACGCATTTTGAAAAACGGGAGTTGGAGATGACCGTCTTCAACGGTTTTTCTTCTAGATTCCTCTCATTTTGGCCTTAGTTTTCTACCCCGCTTCCCTTTTTATTCAGTAGAACTTCGAACTCGAAGCGGGGTTGAAGAATGAGCGCTTTTCTGCTCTGCATAACCGACAAAATTCTGTTGTTGCGTACGTCCATTCTCGCTTCGTTTTCCTTCTGCTCAAACCCATTCCATTTGTTCCAGGAAGCCGCTGCGTAGTTTCCGCAGGGCATCTGTAACTTTGTTATGTCCCATGTAACCGGACAAAAGGTCTTCGTGTGCTCGTCCATTTTCTCTTTCATTTTTGTTCAGACCTACTTCATGTGTTCTAGAGACCTGCCTATGTCTCTTTCTAACAGATGCGAAATTACGCAGCGCCTTCCTGGAACACATGAAGTAAGTCTGAACAAAAATAGCGAAGAGAGAATGGACGAACGCACAAAAACACATCGTCCCGGATACATGGAGCAGAACAGCGTCCTATCCTCAACCCCGCTTCAAGTCGTAGTTTTTCTTATCACTAGGAGAAGCGGAGTAGAAGAAAGAACGGAGAAGCAACGATATGGAAAAAGAGAAGTGGCTGAGAATGCAACGAAACTCATCAGGGCCGGTAGTAATCCCCCCGACCTGGCGGCAGGTCTCGTCGGCAGGTCGCTGGCACCTTTTCCGTGAGGTGGCCAGAAAGTGAAACCCCAAATTTAGGCGGTCCCAGGCCTATTTCCAAAAACTAGACTTTGTAGAAAACTCCATGGAAATCTGCGGTTCTAGAAATCCTCCAGTGGGGAAATATCTGGAAGCGCAGAAAGAGCTGCCGGCAACTTCGCGATGTAAGTTGCCGGCAACCTGCCGGCAGCTCGTCGAGATCCGCGAGATGGCAGCTGCCGGCAGGTCAGAGAGCACGGGAAATAGCGTGCTCTTTTGAGAGAGGGAGCTGCCGGCATCTCGACGTGCCCCTACCACGTCGAGGTGGTGGCACCTTTGCCGACGGCGTCTGCGAGTTTGCGAATTGCGGCGATATCACACAATTTACGTCAGGCGAAAAAATCAAAAATTCTACTTTTCATCAAAAAACTATCATTTTTCTCATTATATGAGTTTTTCTTTTTCAAAACGACAATTTTCTTACCGAGAAAAAATTCATTAATGCCTTAGAATCATAAAGAACATCATCTTTTTTGGCAATCCCCTATAAATCTCGTCTGCACCGATTTCGTCCCTCTCTCGCTCATATCAATCAGCTGTTCTTTCAGGTCAAAGTCTCTCACGCAATGTATCGATCCCTCTTACAGGCAGCCAATTACCAGCGCGTTCCCCCTATTGCTGGTGCAAACGGCAATGGTTGACCGAATGGTCGAATGGTTAACGTGGTTGCACTTTAAATTAACGCGCATAGGTTCGACCGCGCGCGAGGTAGCAATTTTGCGGCTGTCTGCGTCATCAAAATTCAATGTGCGAAATGATTGCGTGCTAAGGTTACATAAGATTATTAAAACCTACAATCACTCCGCGAGTGCCGGTGGAGTTGGCATCTTTCCGCGATGTGTGCCAACTTGCCGGCATCTATGATGCCACCAGGTAGGGTAGATTACTACCGGCCCAGAAAACAAGAGCAAAGTTCCCATTTCCACATTTTCAAAATGTTCGCATGTCCTAATTCGAGACAAATGCCTGCGGAAACTACGCAGTGGTTTCCTGGAACAAATGGAATAGGCTTAAGCAAAAAGAAAACGAAGCGAGAATGGACGAGCACAAGAACAGACAATTTGATAGGTAGAGATACAGTTATGCAGAGCAGAAAAGTGCTTATCCTTCAACCTCTCTTCAAGTTCAAAATTTTGCTGATCAAAAAGGGAAGTGGGATAGAAGACTGAAGCCAAAATGAGAGGAATCTGGAAGAAAAACCGTTGAGAACTGTCAAAATTCTCTAATTTTCGCCATTCAAACGCCGGAGCGGTTGCAGCGCATGCAGCACAGTTCCGGAACAGTTCAGCGCAGTGCGAAAACTGTACGGGAACAGTTCCGGAACGTGGGAATCGGTATAACCCAGCCTTACACAGATGAAAAGAGGACATAAGTTAAAAGGAATCATCAACTATTATTTGGCAATGAAAACTACTGGGGTGCGTTGGTTCGTGTTTATAGTTGTACATTACGCTGAGAAGATGTGTCATGTCATGAGATGAGTGCTTCGTGTTGAGTTATAGGTAGCTAGGCCGGCTGGTAATCTAGAATTATATCTTTTGTCTGTGGTTGCCAAAGCCTTGCACAGGTGGCCCAAAGAGCAGGCTAAATGTTGTTTTGGGGTAACAATCAAAAGAAATATTGTTTGGGAGCGGCAAGCCAGCGACATGCAGGCTCCAGGTTCTAACACAGTGGTATCCTAGACAGTAAAAGCTTTGTTTACGATTAAATCGCATTCCGTGTAGTGAGCAATAGGGATTTGCAAACATATATAAAAATTATGAAAAACTTATTTGAAGTGAATACGTGGCAAACTTTTCCCAAGCTAGCTGGTTTTGCGGCCAGCTGGACGGCCACCTGAGGTGGCCGTAAAAAAAAATGTTAATAACTCACTTGCTTTCATATCTTTGCCGAGCTTGAGGTACCATTCTTTAGAGCGAGGTTCAACTTAGTATGGAGCGACTTATCAGCAGCTTTTCATTACTGTAGGATTACGGTAGGAATTTCGAGGAGGATTTCAAGCCATTGAAAGCGGTATTTTGCCTCAGAAAGAAAGCCAAACAAGCCAAAAACTCTTGAACTGGGTTAATCGAAGTCGCTGATTTCAAATTTGAAAATTGCAAGTCAGTACACTGTTTCTTTCATGACTTATTTCAGATTTAGGGTAACAATTAATTTTCCAATGTTCGTCAGAAATGTGAATACGCCAGCAAAAAAGCTCGAAAAACTGGTGAAAAATTATGCAGTGAAGTTAGCGCCCCTGAAAACCTTGCTACACATTTTTTAGATTTTTTTGAAATTATTTCATCAAAAGGCTTATTCCACGGCTACGCTGCATGCTGAAGTTCATACCGTAATCCTATAATAATAGAGAGTGATTGGTGATTCGCTCCATAGTGTAGATCTAAGCTTATCCTCGCTCTACAGAATGGCACCTC